AAATTAAGTAATAAATTATTGCACGATCATCTTGCTTTTTGGCTCTTTACGCTCCTTTTTAATAATTTTGATTTTGAAAATCTTATGAGCCTTATATCATTTTAATTTATTATTTATTATTTATCATTTGCGATACTAAAATTCTCTCTATTGAAACCAAAAACCATTTGAGTCCGCATTCCACGAAACAACGGAATAATTATAAGTACAAAGAGTGGTCCCGAAAGTATTGGACACAAAAAGATGATTTTAAGGTCAAATGCGACATTTGGGATAAAAATATAAGTGTTTCACTAGAAACTCGTTTAAAAGATCATATCAATAAAAAACATGCGCCATTGGAAGATTTTTAATCTCCAAGATAAATAGATCTTAAACTATGGTAAGTTTACACGAGTCATTAAGAAACGTTTTAAATATATCAACTCATTTTGGCGTGAAATGCATTATTTGTAATAAAAACGTTTGATTTTTATCTAAAAGTGTAGAAGGCTACTTACGCTAACATTTTAAAAAACATACATTTTAGAGTTTGACTATATAGAAACAAACCAAGAGTCATGATTTTGAAGTACAGTGTAATATTTGTCACAAAAGCATATCTGTTACTGTTTCAGAATTCATTTCAACGAACATATTGAAGATTATTTGGGCAAGTCAACTAAGCTGGATAAAAAAATAACAATAAATTTTATTGTTATTGGTATGTATAATTAATTTTTCATTTTTTTAAATCGCGTTTAATTTATTAAAAATATACAATATAATGACACCAAAAACCAGACAATTTATTTTTTGTTTTTATATGAATATTATAATTGTTTATATAGATTTATCTTTTCTCCCAAACACTGACAACGGGAATGATGGTAACGGTAGCAGCATCAGTATCCAGCATTATAATCAGCAATAATACCAGCCTTTATTTGGACGATTTTAATCCACTAAAAGATATATACAAAAAAACTGATATATATAGCCCTGACGTATAATTATTTGTTATAATTAAATGTTTTATGTTTATAAAATTACAAATATGATTATACATCTATGTTTTATAGAAAACAAGTTACATTTTTTAAATTTATTAACTATAATTATAAATTTTATCATGTACTGTTTTAAATTTATAAACTATATTCTTAATTTTATTTACTGAAACAATTTAATGAAATAATTATTGACTTCTCTGTAAAAAGAAAAATATCGACAATTTATACTATAATTTTATTTCAAATATTTAATTTTTACATAATTTTTTTCTATATTTTTACATATGTTTGTATTTTTTTCTAATACAAATTCGTCCGTCACGTCCATCACGTTATCACTCATACTTAATTTGCCATCTTTATTTGCCATGCATTTTAATGAAAATTTTCGACAGATCAAAAAGTTTATACTTTACTCTAATTTTCCTTTTAGCGATCTCATTTTTGCATCTAATTCAATACATGTAACATTGTTACTTTCATTTGACAGCAATGATTTTGTCAATAGATTCACATAATGATGTACAAAATATAAATATATTTTGGATATGAAATAGATTTAAGATTACGCTTTATTTCATATTCTTTTCGACTGACAAAATTCTAAACTACTTTATAACAATCCTCTTTGCCTAATTGTTTAAAATAACTAACTATAATGATGGTTAAGGAGGACACCACTGAAACAGCCCGAAAGGTATAGATATTTTTGGGAATATTTGACAAAGAAAGTATACAATAGATCTTTTTTAAACTTTGACGATATTTTACTGAACATTTTAGAAAATAGAAAAATTTTTTTTAATTAGTAAATCTATGTTTATAAATATAAATAAAAAATTCTATATTTATTTAATTAATTTTATTACTTATTTTAACGAAAGCAAATTGTTTCGTAGAATTGATTACGTATGTGCAACACTTCACCTGCTAATTACAGTAATATTGTAAAACAACTTTATAATTAGATATATTTTATAATTTATGGAGCATAAACAGTACAGTAATTTATATTTTCCTAAAATAATAATCATGTATATTCCTAGTAATAACGTATTTGAAACGTTTTTTGCTGTATCAATGAAATACTACTTGTGGAATAAAAGATTTATTTGTTACTGTAGGGTATCCCATGGAAAGTTGCTGAAACTAATTAGCTATCATTTTTAAAAGCGCGCAGGGAGCAAGAGAAATAAAATATCTTCTAACAAAGAACATTTTGCAGCATTATTTACATATAAACTAAAGCCAATATTTTTATTTAAATAAACGTTTATTAAAATATGCCAAATATCGCTAATTTTAATGATATATATTTTCAAAGTGCGCACCGTTAGAATTATAACAAAAATTAAGTCGTTTTCGGAAACTATAACTGTAACTGTAATTTTTGTTGTATAAAGTTTTTTACAGTTTTAAAAAGTGACTTAAATTTCTTTATTATAATTCTAACGGTGCGCACTTCGAAAATATATTAAAATTACGATTAAAATTAGCGATATTTGGCATATTTTAATAAATGTTTATTTAATGTTAAAAATATTGTCTTTAGTTTATATGTAAATAAAACTGCAAAATGTCCTCTGTTAGAAGATTCTTTATTTTCCTAGCTATTTATGTGCGTTTAAAAAGTCAACCAATTAGTTTCAGCAACTTCCCTTGGAACACCCTGTATATTAAGTATAAAATTAATAACGCGCACACTTAGAGTGCTAATTGCGCCTCTCATTATAAGCTGCTAATTTGTGGCACATTGTGACAGAGGAATTCTAATAGTCCAAGGCACATATCAACGTCACTCTCCTTTTTATCCAATGAGACTGTGACTTGTCAGTAGGAATTTCCATTGCTAGAACGAAGTTCGTGCAATGTCCCGTTGTGCTCAGCCATTGAGTTCTATAACATACTGGAGCGAGCCTTTCAGGAGTGGGGATGTCTCCATCGGTCGAAAAAGACAGATAGATTACGTGAGGCTAGTCTTCCTTGTCAGCGTATGTTTTCAGCATAAGCAATAGAACGTAAAAAGAGACAGAAATCCTCACATTGCTATATGTGTCCTTTTCTAAATCGCGGACGCAGTTTTCTTTGTTCGGGATAGGAAGGCTCGCTCCAGTATGTTATAGAACTCAATGTGCTCAGCGTTCTAGTGCGCTCAATAGTTTTATATAAAGGACATATGTAAATTCCATAAGGTAGAATTGCATGGTCAACTTCCGGTAATAGGAAAATCGGTGACATCTCTAAAATAAACAACATTACCTGTCTTATAAATGTAAATAAAATGCAGAACAACTGCACAAAATTGTAATTTGCTTAATGAGCTTTAAAGTGTAGTTTTTTGAAGCATATTTTAGAAATTTTATACTTTAAAATTTAATCTAAAATTAGCAATAATATAATTAGAAACTTATTAATACTTAACGGGTGAATAATTGTTTTGGAAAAGATTCAACGACATATTTTCCGTCCCACCGACAGCCCTCCAGAAAAAGATCATAAATGACACAACCATTCGATGGTTTCTGCATTGGTTTAGAAGATAAAACCTATGATATACAGCACATTTTACATGACATTCACATAGAATTATTCTTATCATTTATCAATTTTCAAACGTAAAATAATTAAAAATTGCTGCAAATCAGCGTACAATGATTTAATAATAATCTAATTAATAATTATTGATTCCACACATTTGCAGATATTTTTTATCAAAGTTATAAAATAGAATTTGCATATAAAGTTTTATTTAATTAATATATTTGATTATTATTTATGTTTAATAAAACTCAAATAGCTGAAAATGTTTTGAAAATCCATTAGTCTTCTCTAATTTAATCCTTCCTATTGTTGTGGGTCCAAAGAACCACAACCAATTATTAATAATAAAATATATATATATTAATAAAATATAAGAAATATCTATTGCATATCAGATTAAGATATCTAATATTCAGTTTCCGGCTCATGCGAGACACCGGATAAATCGCGCAGCGAAAATTAAAACCTAATTCACTTTTTACGCGACAATGCTGACGAACGATCGAATTTCGTCAGCAAGTTAGATCGTTAAAACTGCAATCAAGTGCAGTTTCACATATATAAAATCGCCGTCGCGAGATCACGACGGCGGGTCTAAAACTATCAGTCACAAGAAACGGACGTATGTCCGTTGGGACCACAAATCTAGAAGAACGCGAATTATAACAATTCGTTAAAAGTGAATAAGAGTAACTTGGGGCTCCGTGATACTACACTAAGGCAAGGATTCCTGACGGAACCTAGATTACATAGAAGTAAGGGAATTTGTAATGAATCAAGAGATCAATAAATATGTGGAAGACTGTTTTTTATTAAAAAAACGTCAAAGGATTATTCCCGGATTCCCGGCCTAACTCCTTGGCAGATCCCGAACCCGTGCCCTATCACCAAGGGCACAACACTATAATTATCGTATGTTGCAGATCAACCACATTGAACTATTAATCGATTAATTAAAGATATAATTGACAGTATACCTTGTAGCTAAAATCGATTGTATCAATGGATACTATGTGTACTATATGTTTGCGTGCAAAGTTTTGCAACGTGCCAGTTAGGAGGGCTTGAGGAAAGTAAAAACCGGGCATCTAAAATGCTGATAGTATATCTTGATCTCACCAATCACTTATAAATTTAATTCTTTTCTTTAAATCGTAGAACCATGCGGCTAAAATAATTAAAAAATTTTAATTGTAATTGACTTTAAATAAAATCTATAAAATCGCTAAAAAAATAAGTATACTGTTAAAAATTTGTGATTTAGATTTTTCTACACATATCCAAAGATTTTAGAGAAGGATAACTCTTGCTTTGCCAATTTGCGGGTATTTTATTGTTAAAAAGACTAATAATCCAATTTTTACCCAATGGCGAATATTTTCATTTCAATAGAAATTTTGACTGTATAAAATTAAGTCACATTCACCAGGTAAACAGTGTTAAGTCGCATTAAAATCATTCCGTAATCACACAACTTTATTTTCTGAAACATATTAAAGTTTGATATTATATCTGTGAATACAAAAAAATTTGCAAAACATTATAAGTATTTTACTGACAATGAGAGAATATCAAAAGCGTAAAGTCTTTTTAGAGCCTTCTCCTGAAAAATTATGTTTATGTGACTTAACACAGTTCACCTCTGAGGCGCTCATATGTTATATATATTTTAATATGTTTAAATTCACATTATACATATATATATATATATATATATATATATATATATATATATATATACTA